TGATTTGACATCAATATGGAAAGAACTTGATCACTATCAGAATGTGAATTGGAAGTGTGATGAAGATGCAAAGGCCTATAAGTCACTGGTATCACAGCAACGAGTGTTTGCCTTCCTCCTAGGGCTGAATCCGTCATATGAGTCCACCAGGGTGCAGATCTTGGGTAGTAAAGAGTTGCCATCAATCCAGGAGGTGTATGCCTTGGTGCAATCAGAAGAAAGCAGAAGAAGTGTGATGAATGGTGTAGAAGGGGAGTCAATTACCCTAGTTGTCCGGGGAAATTCAGATACAAATGTCGGAGGTGGCTTTAAAAAGGATGACACTAAGAAAAAATCAGATGATAAGAACAAGCTTTGGTGCACTCACTACCAGAAGGCACGACACACAAAAGATACATGTTGGGATCTCCATGGAAAACCTAAATGGGCACAGGATTTGGGTAAGAAGTCAGCACCTGATCAGAGCAAGAAACCAGGCCAGCAGAATAAAAAAAGGTATAACTCAGCTAATGTGGCATCAACAGAGACTAGTCCTTCAGTAACTCAAGAGAGACATCCCAGTTCTGACCGTAAGGAAGATACTATCAACTCCTTCTGTGAACATTTAGAATTGTATGGTAGGACTCTCCGCCAGATGGATTCTGGGCCTACTACCTCATTTGCGTCTACATCAGGTAATGCCACAGCCTTCCATGTGTCATCTCATACTACTGATCTCCTTGGATTATTGACTCCGGAGCCTCAAATCACATAACCGGTAAGACTAATTTGTTTCAGACATATAACCTTCTCTCTAGGAGAGATAAGGTAAGACTGGCTAATGGTTCTTTTTCTACCATAGCTGGCCGAGGCACCATACCTCTCCCACTTGGCCTTACTCTTTCTAATGTACTGCACGTTCCGAAATTACCTATTAATTTGTTGTCCATTAGTAGTCTTACTCACTCTTTGAACTGCTCAGTCACTTTTTTTCCGTCTTCATGTGTGTGTCTTACTCACTCTTTGAACTGCTCAGTCACTTTTTTTCCGTCTTCATGTGTGTTTCAGGATTTGA